CATACTGTTGGTTAAATTGGCGCATTAAAGCCGGGATCCCAAATTATTTGTCTTCGAAGACAACCCAGTTCCGTGAACGCCAGATCCGCCAGAGGACGGCAACCACAGCCATAAACAGGGCCGGCTGATGGACAAGGGCAAGCATCCTCTTCAGGAACAATGGAAACGTATGCCAAGGCAAACCTTCCCCTAAGTAGTCCAACCCGGAGTAGTCCCAAAGAGCCCGGGCGACCGGACAGTACAGAAAAAGTGATCCATAGTCTCAGGCCCTTCCCAGCAAACCGGACACCGGGGCAACACCGGAACCTTCTTCTCAATGAGTGCCTCGGTGGTTGGCAGAGCCCGATGAAAAATTTGCCAGACAAAGAGTTTCAGCTTAGGGGGAATCTGAGCTTCCCAAAGCCGGATCCAGCTTTGCCTATCCATCCAACTCGCCGAGGCCCGCCACCCACCCCTTCTCCTGTCTAACTCAACTGCCAGATGATAGGCCGTCTTGACCGAGAACACCCCATCCGACGTGTTATGCCAAATCAGCTTATCCTCCACATTCAGCCTCGGAAGTGGGATCCCCCTAATGGCTTGACAGGTAGCAGGGTCAAACCATTGACTAAGCTTATCCTCCGCCCATCGCCCTTCCCCCTGGAAAATGACTTCTGCCACCAAGGGGTCTCCCCCATCTGGCAGGACCCGGGGATTATAACATGGGGGATCCAACTGAAGCCCAAGGATCCAAGTCGAGTGGAGAAGGGAGGCTGAAAGGTCATTGCCTATCTGCCATCTTAATCCCGCCTCCAATAACTGGCGCCCAAACAGGATACTCTGCCAACCCCAAGACGGGCGAGACCGAGCAGTAGCAGACAGAAAAGTTCCTTGAGGAAAGTACTTCCCTTTATACACTTGAGCAAGGAGGGAATGAGGTTCGTTGAGAATACGCCAGCCAATCTTAGCCAAGAGAGCCTGGTTAAAATGCTCAAACCTGCGAAATCCCAAACCCCCATCATGCTTACTCCTGCAAAGGTTTCGCCATGACACCCACCGAATCTTGGGATGGCCTTCCTCAACTCCCCACCAGAACCGAGCCACATGTCTATCCAAAAGACGACAAAGCGAGAGGGGCAGCCGGAAACACGACATTACGTACAAAGGCAAGGCCATAGCAATGGACTTGATTAAAGTCTCCTTTGTCGCCCAGGACAAAGTCCTTTGCTTCCACCTCTGTAGACGTGCCAGCAACTTCTCTTCCAAATACTGAAATGTCACCATTTTGGATCGGGCAATCAAAGTAGGTAACCCCAGATACTTATCATGGACCCCTACTGCACCAACCCCTAGAATCGCGGCCAAAAATTCCTGATCAGGCAAGGAAACATTTCTGCTAAAACAAACCGCCGACTTCTCCAGGTTAACCCGCTGACCACTCAACTCCTCATACTCATTCAATACCACAATTAAGTTCTCGCACTCCTTAAGAGATCCTCGCAGGAATAAATAGGAATCATCAGCGAAAAACAAATGCGAGATCCTAGGAGCACGCGGAGCCACTTTCACCCCTTCCAACTTCTTTTCCGAGATCGCCTTCCGAAGAAGGGCCGCAAACCCCTCCGTGCATAGCACAAACAAGAGAGGCGACAACGGATCTCCCTGTCTGAGACCTCGAGAGGAGTTGAAAAACCCCGAAGGTGTACCATTCATCAGTACCGAAAAAGAAGCGGACCGAAGACATTCATGTATCCATCCTCGCCAAACAGAGTTAAAACCCATCTTATCCAAGACAGCTAGAAGGAAGGGCCATTCGACTCTATCATAGGCCTTTTCCATGTCAACCTTCAGAGCCATGTACCCTTTCTTCCCTTGCTTCTTTAATTTTAGATAATGCATTAACTCATGTCCGAGGAGGACGTTATCAATAATTTGCCGATCTCTTATAAACGCATTCTGGCCCTCCGACACGATTTGAGGAAGCAGACCTGCCAGCCGCTCAGCCATGATCTTTGTTATTACTTTGTAAACGAACTGACATAGACTGATCGGACGCAACTGGCGGATTGTTTCCACAGAATCCACTTTCGGAATCAAAGTGAGCCAAGTATGATTAAAGCTCCGCAATAATTGACCAGAGGAGAAGAAAGAACAGACTGCATCAATCACCGAGGTGCCCACAATATCCCAGAATGCTTTGAAGAATTTGCCGGTGAACCCATCGGACCCCGGAGCCTGTTTCGATCCCATCGAAAAGACCGTTCTCCGAACCTCATCAGGCAAAACCACTGCCGTCAATAACGCATTCATCTGCGGAGTAACAGTACGGGAAATGGGGAGAGTCGCCACCCTCTCAGTCATATTCGGGACCTGGGTCTCCGAAGTAAATAGGGTTTGGTAAAAATTGGTAGCGATCGTAGCCTTCCCACTTTCCTCAGTGACCCAGTCACCCTCCTCATTCCTAAGCCCAGTGACAAAATTCCTCTTCCGTCGTGCGCGCGTGACTGTATGGAAATAAGCAGAGTTTTGATCCCCTTTTTTTAGCCATTTGACTCTGGACTTCTGTTGCCAGTAAAGCTCCTCTGCATCCCACTGACGAGTCAACTCCGTCTCCAGGGACCTGATTGCATCCCAATCCACCGGATGGATGGATTTGACTCGGTCAATCTCAGCCTGGAGAGTCTTTATATTTCGCAAGGAATTAGTAGTGCCTGCCCTACTTCAATCATAGAGCAGGTGACGGAGTTTCTTGAGGCGCTCCCAAAGTCGAAACATAGGGGTACCCTGTATCTCTTCCTGCCAGACATAATAGACCATAGCCCTTACCTCTGGGTTATCCGCCCAACGAGCATCAAACCTAAACAGAGGCCGACTAGTCCGAGTAGAAGGTTTATCAGCGAGAAGGAGGGCACGATGGTCCGAACCCTGATATGTGAAATGTTTGACCAAAGTCTCAGGATAAGTATCTATCCAGGTTTGGGAGCAAAGTGCCCTATCCAGTCGTTCACGAATGCAAGCCTCCCCCATGCGCTTATTGGTCCAAGTGAACTGATCACCATGGTATCCAGGGTCATGGAGCCCTAAATCATGAACAAAATCCTGAAGGCTACTGGCTTGCGCCGCATTCCAAACCCGACCCCCATCCTTTTCCCCCTCATGGAGGGTGGTGTTGAAATCACCTATGACCACAAAGGGGTGATGAATAGATGCACAAACATCTCGCAAATGAGCCAATTGGGTAGCACGAACGGCAACATTACAACTAATGCAAACAAAAAACACAAAATAAGAAAAATCTCCTTCATTAATTTGCGAACAAATGTAGAAATTTGAATGACAATACACCGAAGTGTCAACTCCGGGGGCCCAAGCGACAACTAACCCACCCGATGCATCGACTGCATCAACAAAAAAACAATGAGAACTATCAAAACCTAAAGCCCGCATACGGCGGGACACTACACGCCGGCTCGACCGTGTTTCAGAGAAAAACACAACATCCGGCTTATTAGAATGAACAAGCCCTAAAGCAGATTGGAAAGTGAGGGAAGGCCCAATTCCTCTCACATTCCAGGCCAGAAGCCTCATTTATCCACTGGGGGCCACTCGAGGCTGGCTTCCTCCACCTTCTCCAGAACATTTGCTGCTTCCACAAACTGCTTCTTAGGGGTAGGAGGGTCTCCCACCTCGCCGTCCACCTCCTCGAGCACCCATTTACGGTTCTCCAAGGATAGGTCCCCTAGATTGGACCCATATTCATTCAGGGTCAAGCTCACCCCCTTGCAGGACCCTTCTTCCACCTGCCCAATGCTACGCCCCGCTGCAAAAGCCTCAACCACTTGGTGAACACGTCCTTTCAAAATTTGGGAGGTATCCATGGGGGCACCAGCCGGTGAACGACGCTTGATCTCAAAAGAAAGAGGGTCCCCCAGCGATGGATCTTCCTCAGAGTCAGAATCCTGCAAGTGATCCACCAAATTGGGATCATCAGTAGGTGCACCCATCTCCTTGTCTTCCAGATCCCGCATGGCACCAGGAACAGCAGCCCCCTCATTCTGATTAGAAACAGGCATGGGGGAACTCGCTCCCCCTTTACGCAACCGTGGGCGAGACCGGGGTGCCGGGTACCCCGGCTGGGTCACTTTCTTGGACGGCGCACCCTTCTTAGCTCTAGGCACCAGGGGCACAATCTCCTCCTCCTCAGATTCCTCCTGCAAAATCAACCTACGCCTTCGGGATTGTTCGAGAACCTCATCCACAGTATCAGCCACCTGCCTAGGAGGGGGAGCCTGATGCATGTGCGTACCAGGCTGCTGGCGGCCCTTAGTGTCTTTCCGAGGGCCCATGGTACTCTTTCTCGGAGACAGCTTCCTCTAAGACTGCCTAACCCCACCACCAATCTTAATCCGCGGCGACTTCTTGAAGCTAACCCTTTTTGGGCTAAGACGATTTCCGGTCAGCTGGTTAGCTGGTTCTCGCAGCCTAGGCTGTGTCTCTGCCCTGTCTTGCCCTTCTATTCAGCAGACCGACCATGGTACACCCCTGGTGCCTGGGCGTCCACAGGAGGCACTAGTGATCCCTCCACCACTCGACCCCTAGCATTCTTTGCACTCCCATCGTTCTGCTTGTGGACATTCCTGTTGACCCAAACAGATTTGCTTGTATCTCGAAACTTAGGATAATCATCCTCCTCCATGTATAACTTCCGTCAGAGCTTCCTAGTAGCCATATGCGGGCCAAAACGTTCTTTATCCAGAGGGGGATCAAAAACACAATCGCGCTTAGAATGGCCCACGCGCCCACAGTGGAAGCAGACGGTCGGTAAAAACTCATACTTGAGATTTACCCAGGACTTGCCCAGCTCCTCGCTAACAGCCATGATTTGGGACCGCAAAGGCTTTGTAAAGTCGATGAGGGCATTCACTTTCACAAAGCGTTCTTCTGTCTCCTTGGAAGCAAAGACATCGGCCTCCGGGACCTATCCAATAGTCCCAGTTGCCATTTTTCGGCCAAATTGCCTAGTACAACAATCATCTTTCACATTCCAGAGTTGAACGCGAAAGGGGGCAATGGCTAACTCATCATAGGTGATCTTCGAAATGGATGGTGTCCAGGACCGGAGATGGAAGATTCTGTCTTTGACTATCCAGGGCGTTCTCTTCAGGATCCACACCCTTGCTTCGTCACTTGGAAGAACCACCTCAAATAGGCCAAATTTTGTTATAGAAACCCTAAGGTTTCCTTTCACCCTCCATGCTTCAACCAGTCCCTCCTTCAGCTCTGCTGTAGTGAATTTGGCCTCCGAAAAGAGCCTTCCCAGCAGGGTCCTCGAGGTGCGAAACCTCACCGATTGGACCTCCTCAAGTGAGAACTCAACCACCGAAAAGAGCCTGCTGGTCGTCGCCCGAGGGCATAGTCACCCGTCGCACCCGACCCTAGGTCTGCAGAGACTTCTGAACTCTCTGCTTCGCCTGCGTACACCGGCGGCAGCCTCCCAAGAGCAACCGAAAGAGGCCTGGTCCCGAGGGCAGTAGCGTCTCTTGCAGTATCGCTTGTAAAAGAAAGGTGGAAGCTATTCCCTTTACCTGTCACAAATTCAGGAGCGCTTGACACACTCTTTTATTAACAAGTTGATCCAATTGTGACTCGTTAATCATCACTATTTTCTTCTAGTTGGTTGAGTGATGGTGAGTGGATGCAATTGGTTAACCTGTCGACTAGTCATTATGCAAGTTGACTCATATTTGTAATAATTCTTCGTAAGTATGGAGACACTTAAACTTAAGTCACTTCTCACTTTTTTTTTTTGTGGATCTACCTAATACTTATGAGAAATGAACGTCGGTATTTAACTATTTTATGAAAACACATAAAGAAAATATTTCATAAATGAATGAGAAATATAGTAAAGAAAACAATTGAGTTGATGGAAAGATAGAGTTTCATTGGATGAAAATATGATTTATCCTCACATCATCCCAAGTAATCTGTGGGTTAAAAGATTTTATCGTAAAATAAGTAGCATAGCATATGATTGGTTGACGTTCACAGCCCTGTAGCCATAAGAATGGTGTTTTTATGCAAATAAAAATATGAGTCTTTAGATTAATTTAATGATAAACATATATCTACTTCTGATATTTTATTTTTAATACTATTTCTTCCCTTTTTAACTGGATTTATCTCCTCTATTTTTCAAGGCAATTTTTACAGAAAAATACTATCGTAAAAGGATAATTAAATTGCACCAACTGAGATTTGCAGAAGCATTAACCTAAAATGAGTCCGACAAAATTCCAACCGAACCAAACTAATCCAGTTTCGAAAAGGATTACCTGAAAGTTGGGCTAGAGCAGCGTAGCAGACGCAAGTGGGCCGGAATGTTAATCTACCTATCTAAGGCAAGCCCTCTGCAACAATTAAAGTAAAGGTTTTGTTGGGCCATGACTTACTGTGACCGGCCCTTTCTCTTTTGGAATCTCTTATGGACTTGAATAAGGAGTTAAGAGAGGCTTTTATCAATCCGCGACTGTTTTTCTGTTGACGTGTAATTCAGATTCGTTCTTTTTCTAATACCACTAGGAAGTCCGAACTATTAAGAATGTGTCATTTGTGTCCTAAAGTATCTAATATGACATTTGTGTTCCAACCTATTATAATTTTGTGTCATTTACGTCCCAACCTATTATAGTTTGGTGTCATTTATGTCCTAACCCAAACTATTAAGAATGTGCAATTTGTTAAATACTAATGGTCAACGCCGGTCAACTCTAACGGAAAAATAATTTAGGACACAAATGTCATATTGGATACTTTAGGACACAAATGACACATTCTTAATACCTAGTGGTATTATCCATTCTTCTTTCAATTTCTATTGTGTGATATTTCTTACCGTCTTGTGTTGATTGGCCACGATAACATAAAATTATAGTCAATTAGGTTACAACAATAGTGAATGCCTAATACCAGAAAATATATTCACACAACATAGTTGTCTATCGAAGCCACGGAGGATTAGAAAGGTAATTATGTTGTGTCGTCATAGGGATATCAATCTTCAACCTAGGTAGTTGATTACTTGTTTGCATTAAAGTAAGCAGTTAATTAACTAGTTACTATGATTCTCCATAGGGATAACTATCTGTTTTCCGAGAAAAACTAGACGAACAAAATTGGACTTTGCACCTTTGACTTCCAAACAAACGATCAAACAACACAGTTCACACCTCTTTGAACAAAGTTCAAACAAGGGTGTTCAATGTTTTGATGAACTACGAAGCAAATCTACATTGAATTAGCCCTACTCCTATGGAGGTTCAGTGAGAACTCCAAAACTACGACTATGGCTAAAATCTGCAGAGGAAAAGAGAAAAAAAGATAAAACTGTACAAGTGGTGTTGAGTTGTGATGTTTGCGAACCTTTTCTCCGTCATCTTCACCTCCTATTTATAGCCACTAGAAGTAACTGCCTCGAGAAACTTCTATGCTGACGTGGAGTGGCGGTTACCCTCTCAACTTCTTCGATTATGCGCTGCCATTGGTGGTTGTACCCTCTTCGGTCTTGACCCCCTCACCTTGATAGTTAATGCTTGCCAGCTTAGAAAAATGAAGAAGGCGTGAAGACTCCCTTGCTACATGTGGGTGGGTGTTGGGATCACATAGAGTAAAAATGGCAATCGTAATCGTCATACTAGGGGGTGACCCACCCTCTGATCATACCACGGGGGTTGGTACGTTGGTGACCCACCCTCTGATCAAAGGGTTGCTCTTTGCCATCCTCATAATCTTCCATACTTAACCAAATTTTCAACCCAACTCACCACACTAAGGTGTATGCTGATCATACCATGGGGCACCATCATTCTCCATACTTACTCATATTTCACTCCATGACCTCTCACCCCCTTACTACGCCCTAGGGGTGGCAGTATGGTACCCACCCCCTCCCCTCAATACCTCTTGGGGGTGGCTCCCATACTCTTTGCCTTAGCAAAATTCGGCCATCACCCCCATCACCACGTCATGGGGGTGGCAGTATGATGTCCACCCCCTTGCCATGTCCCGGGGTGGTATGATGGTGGCCACCCCCCATCCCCCCCCCCCCCTCCCCCCTTTGGCCCGTCCTAGGGGGTGGCTCCCATACTCCTTGCCTTAGCCAAATTTGGACATCACCCCCCTCACCATGTTATGGGGGTGGCGGTATGATGTCCACCCCATGGCAAGGGTGGCGCGCAAAATGGCTTTGGCATGTGTGCCATGAGCCCAAAAATTCAATCCCCGTGGCTCATCTTAATTGATTTTAATTGTTATAATTAAGTTGAACTTATAAATCCATTTAATTCCTTATTTTTAACAGATGTGGTACAAGGTTAATTTTTATGGGTAAACACAATCACCTTTAATATATCCTGATTATAGAAATCTGAATTAAATTCATTAATAAAAAAATTAGATTTTAAAAGTGATGTAGTCACCTATAACTAAAGGTGATGTAGTGAATTATGATATTTTTCTTAATAAAACTTCTCTCCATTGATTTTTTGTATGTGTCTAATCATTGAGGTCATTTATATAGTGGTGAACCCATGGGTGTCAATGCATCCGTTCGATGTATTTGATTTTGTCTTACAAACCCAATTTTTTTGGCGCATCCACTAGGTTGTGTTTGAATTTAGAGAAACCCGACCCGGTCCATTGTCACCCTTACCTTTTGTTTTATCCCTTCCCTTTACTTTTACGAGCTTTTGTAATAGGTAGGTTGGATCTGGTGTGAACTTTGTTAAAACTCGTCCCATTTTTTATTTGAAACACAAAAAAAAACAATATAATTTTATAGAGGTCTATTTATAATAATATAATTCGAAATATATGGATATTATTTGCCTTTATGGTAATATATAATTCAAATAATTACAACCTAATTCGATCAGGTCAAAACCATTTGAACCTGGTGACTGGTGTTGATGAGTTTTTGGGTCTGGAGCGAGTTTTACCAGCAATTATAATTGACAGGTTGGTTCTTATGTGAATTTTGTTCAAACTCGGCCCTCTTTCCATCCTATTGGCACCCAAAGAACAAAACAATGCCAAATAATTCTCGCTATAACTTATTATCTATACCTTTGAAAATAAATTTCTATTATAAGATGGTATAGTAATGGTGTTTAAAACTATTACGTGATAAATCGAGAATGTCATTAATCCTCTCAACCCAGGGACGGAGCCAGCTTGTCATGCCCCCCCCCCCCCCTCCCTAGATTTCTAGAAATCGGTGGAATCCTTTTCTGCATTGTTTTCAATTTTTACCATGCCTCTGCCTCTCTATTTTATAGTTTATAATTTGTTTTTAATTTTTATCGGCCCCTGCCTCTCTATTATTTAGTTTATATTAGTTTTTTTTTATGTTCTTTTTAGTTTTTTTTTACGATAAGATAGCTTGCATTACCAAGAATCAAAAGATCACAACGATTACAACTTCGAACGGAGCCAAGCGCAAATATCAAACCTACCCATCAGAATAGGAAACAAAGAAAGGGTTTTTTGTGCCACCCTATGGGCTACCCTATTGTTATCCCTGCCTACAAACTGGACCACGTCCCGCGGCTTTGCCGACAATACCTGTTGAACCTCCCACACCATGGTACCGCCCCGACTATCACGATCACTGGTAGAGTTAACCTTCTAGATAACCGTCAAAGCATCTCCTTGAAAGCAGAGACCTCGTAAACCCTTCCCACAACACAATAGTATAGCTTCTCGAAGTGTCACCAACTCTACTAGCATAGGATCTAAAACGCCATAAACGCCTTCCCCATAGCATCCACGACCACTCCATCAGTACCACGCAACACCACACCAATAGCTGCATGCGACCCACTGCGGATTGCCCATCAAAGGAGCAAATTAAGGTGATATCTTGTGGGAGAGGAGGTGGCACATTAGCCACTCCAACACCCCGTCTCGAGGGTTGAGCCGCAACCACATTCCATTCCTGCACCTAAGCCTCAAATTGATGATGCAGGACCTCAACCTTGTACTGGACTCCCTCAAACACGACCCAATTACGGGACTTCCAAATTTGCCATAATAGAGATGTGAACGACATCAGCCTAGTGTCCATCGCCTCCTTCTCCAGCCATCGATGGAGAAAAATGCCCATGTTAATCTCTGGTAAACCCAACCAGGTAGTCATGATTCTAGAAGCTTCCCACAATTCCAGCGCTACCAGGCACGAGAGGAACAAATGTTCAAGGGATTCCAACTCATCCCAACATATCAGACATCGTTCCTACACCTCAACCTCTGACACGCTAAAACACAACTCGAAACTGCGACCAATCGAAGAATGGAAATGCAATATAGTGGAATCAAGTAATAAATGTCAACCCAGGGCCTAGATGTACTGCCTACTACGTGATTATCTATTATCTAGCGACTAGCGGAACTAAGTGAATGTAGGTGAGTTCAAAGTAAAGCAGAAAGAAGCAGTAAATTGTCTGGTTTCCTGAAGCAAGAGAAGAGTCACTCGAGAATGAGTCCCCTAACTCCTTAATTAGGTCCAAGTTGTAATTTCTTTAGATTGATTTACTGTTGATTAAACTGCGGAAGATCCGACAGTAGCTTGAAATCTTTTAAGCTGACCAAGCCCTCTTAGACAGACTAACCGGCAAAAGACTAGTCTTCACCGGGATAGAAAGCCAAGGCAGTTAACACATAACTCCACTACTGGAATTGGATTCTAGTACAAAGCAATGGATTGACTAACTCTCGTATAATCAATCCACTCCTATCAATTGAAGAAGCTCTAACAACCTAATCAGATTCTATCTATCTCAGGTTGCAGCAAAAATCAAAAGAAGTTGATCATGATTCAATTGACTCAATAAACACACTTCAATCGATTATAATCAAACAGTATATCAATCCAAAAGTCATTACAACTCAAATCCCTAACACATGGAACTATGGTTCTTCATACCCAAGTGAGATAAAGGTCTACTCCATAGAGAGAAAGAGGAAAAACAGAATTCAAAGCAGTCATCCTCATAAAGATGGGAAAAATATGCTCTGGGATGTCGATCTTCACTCCTGAGGATGCAATCTGAGCTTCAATGGTGAGAAATCCACTCCAAAATAGCTCCTAGGGTTTGTTCTTTGCACTTTCTCTCTCTAGAACTCTGTTATTGCTTCAAAAAGTCGAATCCTCTTCATTTGGCTCGAATCTGCCTCTTTCAACTTGATTCTGGGCGTAGGGATGGCAATTTCGACCTGACCCGTGTTACCCGACCTGTTTGACCTGTTTCGGGGCAGGTCCGACCCGCCCCGTAGGCGGGGCGGGGCGGGCATGGGTAGTCTCATCGACCCGACCTGCCCTGACCCGCCCCATTCTCGACCCGTTCTTGTCTAATTTACATGTAATCTTAGTCAAATTACTTTGGATTTTCCTTTTATTGCATCATATTTTAGCTATAAGAAAGTTGTAAATTAGTAAAAACCTCAATTTCTCCAATAATTTAACTGCAATTGTCATAATATTGTTTGTTTTCTTAGTCTTATAATAAAAATAACGAATATTTCTAATGTTTTTAATATAAATTGCATACCCATTGGGTCGACCTGCCCCGACCTGCAACCCGTGATCAATTACCCGACCTGGACCCGACCTGCCACGGGGCGGGTCTGGGTACCAAGAAATCCGCCCCGGACCTGCCCCATTGCCATTCCTATGACTGGGTGAATTACGGGCAGAAGCACGATCGTGCTTTCTCCATTAACAATGCTTTTCCCAAAATGCGCGTTTCACTTAGTGCAAAATGGGAGAAACACGGGCAAGTCTAGGTAAAGCACTGGCGGTGTTTAACTAAGCACGGTCTTGCTTTTCTCATGGGCTACTCGTGCTTTGCTTTTCTTCAGCATTCTTCATGGTTGGCTCTCTTCAGTAAAAGCACTGGCAAGATGATGAAAAGCACGCTCGTGCTTTTCTCCTTGCCTGCCCGTATTCTGGATCTCCAAACGACCCAAAACTTGCACCCAAACCTTCGTATACCCACTAGGACCTGCAATATGACAAAATAACACAATCTAACGTAAAAAATGCCAAAGAGCAACAAAATAGAGCCAAAATGGTTAAGATATAAGGCTGCAAACATGTGCAAATATAACGTTATCAACCTCCTTCTCACACAAGGCCTCCGTAGTGGAAAGGATACGACTAAGAATTTGCCACCAAAAAACCCGGAGCTTGGGCGGAATGGGAGCATTCCACACCCTCTTCCACAAGCCTCTATCCATCCAGGTAGTTTCACACTTCCCCTTACCCTTGCTCTACGCAATTTCATCGCCAGATGATAGCTAGATTTAATAGAGTAAACCCCCGAACTCTCCTCATGCCAGACAAGCCTATCTGTCACCACCGCTCGTGGCATGACAATAGCCTTATTGCTGAAACCACCTCTGCCGGAAAGCACTCCCTCAGACAATCCAGGCACAACTCCCCCTCACCCTGTATGATCAAGGAGGACACCCTCCCTCCCTCCCCAATTGGAGCCATATCCAACAACCTAGGCGGCCATGGATGACACGTCGACACCCAATTCACCGTAGCAATCTCAACCTCCTCCCATAAACGCACTTGCCACCTCAATCATTCTTTCAGCAACTGCGCCGCATAGAGGATATTTTGTCATCCCCATGACGGCTCCTGAATTTGTTTTCAATTTTAACCATGTCTATGTACTATTTAGCTTAGTTTATATTAGTTTTCTCTGTATTTTTTCAGCCTTTTCAATTGTTTTGCATGTACTTAGTATTTCTTTAAAAATCTATCAATTTCACATCTATAAATAATTATATCTCCACTACTTTATTTTACTATTAGAGACGGTATTCGTATTTTTGAATTATGAAATTAACAATTATATGATGTACTATACACGTGGTTCTTTTGTCCTGAGTTATAAAGAAATAAGTTATGATTTTTGTAATTTTTACACAACTTTAAGTGGACTATATTTTAAAAAATTTGTGAATGATTTGTGTGTAATATTCATCTCTTTTTCTTCTCATTACAGTAAGTAATTTGGAAAATGTTTTTGCCCCCCAATCAAGAATTCTAGCTCCGTCCCTGTCTCAACCTAAACTATCTATTTATAATCCCAAGTCACTAAAATCACCACATGCACGAGATTTTGGGCTACTATTTTGTTATTTAGGGAAGGCAAGCCATTAAAATTATTCACGGTGAAAGTTGTTTGTGCGTCGATTAGAGTCCATTTTCATTCTCAAGAAGTGCAAGTGACATAGTTTAAGGTGTTGTGCGATAGCTAGCTATGGGATACCAAATAAACAAACTCCCAAAAAAAGCCAGGCCAAATAGACAAGGTTGATCTCAAGATTCGGCTACTAGAATAGCTAAAGTGGCACCGGCCGTCGAGAGTAGCTAGAAGCTTTGACTCCGCAGCACAGGCACCGTTAAAAACTTATGCATAATATTGCAAGTGGGCTGCGAGCTGAGTGGATCGTGACTCTTCTTCTGCAATATCAAAGGGAAGTGGAAGACCCACCTTCCAAATACAAGGACACAAATGCATCAATCATCTCATCACTCTCAACTCAAACTGTCAAGCAATAATCATCTATCTCCCTATTCCTTCCCATGGAGATGGAATAATTGAGGCTTCTTTTTGTTTCTATTAGTTCCCCTGTCCCAAATGAAGCACTCCCTCCCTCTACACACTCCAAACCCACTGCTCGCCCCCGGTTCGGTTCACCGAACCCAAATTCATTAAAAATCAGAGTCCAAATTAGTCAATTGTCCAAAATTAAAATTGATATACTCCTGATGAATTTAGTTTCAAATAGAATAAACTGAACAATCAGGTTAAATCTTTGATTACATTAAGACTTATCAATTTCCTATCGGTTTATTAACAATTTTTTTGTTTAAACGAGAACCATTAGGAGCTTATAATTTTTACCCATTAAAAAAATCGATGAACCTATAAAATCGATTTGATTTTGATTAAAACCGAAACCGAACCGTCTCCCTAAACCCCACTTTAATGTTTCTTTTTCTCAAAGCAAATTTCACCTCTTACTTTCTACCCGTTTTCGAAATTGAAATCCGAAACAAAATTCCAACCAAACTAAAACTCTCTTATTGAGAAAGAATCTCGAACATCAACAAAGAGCTAAGAGTAGAGAATATATTCTACCTATAGCCTTTTCCTTTTTTTTTTTCCTTTTCTTCTTCTTTTCTCCTAAAATCCACCACCATACATTCCTTCCTTCCCTCCACCTCAAAAGTCACTCAAAACTCAAAACGATCACCCTCCAAAAATCCTATTGCCCTTCTTTAATTCCACCAAAAAAGCCATGCTCCCCCTTAACTTTATTCCCTTCTCCTCCTCCTCCTCCTCCTTATTGGACCTTCCTTTCTCTCTTCTCTCTTCTCATCTTTCAGGAAGAACAGAACACAGAGAAAAAACAGAGAAGGGATGATAGAGCGTTGGGTTCTGGACAGTATTATCAATCGATTGGTTGAAGTGAGAAGAAAGCCAGGGAAGCAGGTCCAGCTCTCTGAGAATGAAATTGTGCAGCTCTGTGTCACTTCACGACAGATTCTGTTGGACCAGCCCGTTCTCCTCGAGCTTGAAGCTCCCATCAACATCTGCGGTAAGAAATTCAAAGCTCTTTCTTAACCCACTTCTCAATAATTCATTTCCCTTCGTCACTTCGTAATTATAGGAATGGTATGATACAGTAAATCAATGGTAAACTGGTACAACCCAACCAGTAAGTCACCTTTGATACTGTTTTTCAGTCTAAACTTAATTAGCGATTTCATTTTCGCTCTTAGCGATTTTAGTATTACTTAATGATTATTAGTTTTCTCGTTATAAACCGGAATGATACCCATACCAAAGTCCAAGGTACCATAAAGAAAATTATTTAAGGGTGTGTTTGGATAGAATGATTTAGATTATCGTATTTGGGATTTGGATTTTCAAATACTAAATTATTAATTTGCTTGGATAATAATTACTTATGATATTTTAGATTTGTATCAAATTCACAGGGTGATTTCCAAATACATGTCTAATATATTACTTGTGAATTTAAAATTCATATCAACAACTAATGATTTGAAATTTCTCAAAGTAACAGATTTAACCTGTTTGTGAAATTTTAAAAATTTAGGTACCATATTGTAAGACAAAAAATATAAAGGTAGCAAAATATAACTTTACCACCAAATTTGCTGGACCTCTTAGTAAAATTACAAAGTTTAGATATTAAATTTTCACAAAAAGTATAATTTTGATACCAAAATATAATTTTTCAAAAATTGTAGCAGTAAAAAAATCTGAAAAACAAAAAAACATACATATGAGCAGAGGAACCAATGAATTTGAATTATATTTATTTTAAACACAAAGTATTTCAAATACAAACAATTTAAGTACATACATTTCAAACCCATCTGACAATTGGTTTAAGGTTTTGCCAAACCATTATATTTCTACTGACCGTAGAAAACTGTTCTCCTGATTAACCTTCTTTCCAGGAGACATTCATGGACAATACAGCGACCTCCTGCGCCTATTCGAGAGCGGAGGCTTCCCTCCACGCGCCAATTACCTCTTCCTGGGAGACTACGTGGACAGAGGCAAGCAAAGCCTCGAAACCATCTGCCTCCTCTTAGCTTACAAGATCAAGTACCCAGAAAACTTCTTTCTCTTGAGAGGCAACCACGAGTGCGCCTCCGTGAACCGGATCTACGGCTTCTACGACGAATGCAAACGCCGCTACAACGTCAGGCTGTGGAAGGTCTTCACAGACTGCTTCAACTGCCTCCCCGTGGCGGCTCTGGTCGACGACAAGATCCTCTGCATGCACGGCGGGCTTTCCCCCGACCTCCACAGCTTGGACCAGATCAGGAACCTGGCTCGACCCACTGCGATACCCGAGAGTGGGTTGTTGTGCGATCTGGTCTGGTCCGATCCGTCGAGGGAGGTTCGAGGGTGGGGAGCCAATGAGAGAGGGGTTTCGTATACGTTTGGGGCGGATCGGGTTGCTGAGTTCCTGCGGAAGCACGATCTCGATCTAATCTGCAGGGCGCATCAGGTTAGCATGCATGCATATATGTCGATCGTATTACATTTTAAGTTATGAACTAAGACACAAATATTGATGTGTTGAGGGCCTTGAGGCTAGAGCTGCAAGTCTGGCCTTAGATACTAACGGACTCGATCAGAGTCGTGTTAAGTCATTTTGTCTATATAATCAGTTAGGATCAGATCATCTTTTAGCATTGTAGGGCCGGATATTATTTTAGAATCGCGTCATTTTTTATCCTATAACTCATAATAATAACAACTTCTAATATGAAATTTCTCATACTAATATATTGATTTGTTTGTAAAGTTTTAAAAGTTTAGCTACTATAATGCACGGCAAAAAAAATAGAAAGGCACAAAAATGCAATTTCAACACCAAAATTTGTGGACTTTTGGTAGAATAATATAGTAAAGGTACTAAATTGTATAAAAATTAAGACTGGGTGCCAAAATGTAATTTTTAAAAAACACTGTGTTTGTGTATATTGATGTGGGCCGGGTCAACTCGAACAAGATAGGACCAAATAAAACAGGGTCGGGTCGGGCCGGGCCAAGTTGAATGTATGACCATACAGGATGAGATTTTTTAGTGTAGTTGCTGGGCCCGGGTTTGGTTTGCCCCAGTTTCACCCCTTGATGAGGGCCTCATGTGGTTAAGAAGTGAGTTTTGATAGTGGGTTAATTTGTGGCATGCAGGTTATGGAAGATGGATACGAGTTCTTTGCCAATAAGCAACTGGTGACTATATTCTCGGCACCTAATTACTGTGGGGAGTTCGACAATGCTGGTGCAATGATGAGCGTGGATGAGAACTTGCTGTGCTCATTTCAGATACTTGGGCCTATGGAGAAGAAACCCAGGTTTGGGTTTCCGGGTATCGGTTCAGCTAAGCCAACTCCAAGTCCTGCTAAAATCAAGGTACCATTATATATAATAATGAACCAGACCATGTTCCTTGTTAATTGTTTGCTCACTGTTTTCTTCTTTTGGGCAGTCATTTCTGAGGGTATAGCTAGGGGGAATTAATCCGATGCCATTTGACATGGATTGTGGTAAAAGGAATCAGCTTTCTGGGCTGGATGGTCGGCATTTACATGACTTTGAGACAGCTAGCTAGCTGAGTGGAAGGAACAACTTGTGCCGGCAAAATAGTGAATTGGATTTGATGTTGATATGATGCACATTTAATTTAGTCCCTCGGCATGTTCCCCAGTCGAAGGTGTGGTACAATAATCTCATCACGGGCCAAAAATGTAAAGTTTGATCAATCTCTGTATTTTGGTCTACTTTCCATATCCATAATTGGTTCCATTGTTGTGTGCTTTTCATTAATAGAGGCTCTTAAAAAAGAAATGAAGATTTTTGTGTAAAATTATGAAGAGATGAAGGATGTCGTGTCCTTAAATGTGCACTAACCAACAAGATTGTTGATGTATGCCGCGCCACCATATAATTCACTGGTGGGTCAACTCTCAAAGTCGCCAAGTTTGTTCAAGATCTGGGGATGGGCGAAACAGTTATGGAGTCGAGAAGGTCGAGTTTATGTCTCGCCGCTGGCGCTGAATAAGAACCTCTATTCTTTCTAGCTCCCTGATACTGGTTCGTGTGCTTGGGTTTTGGAAAATGGTCCATGGAACTGCGAGAACAGTCTGGTATTTGAGAGGAAAATAGACCCCTGGGATTCAGTTGTTAACTCTTAATTTGGGGTTCTTCCTATTTGAGTGAGTATTTGGGGATTGCCTCTCCAATATTTCACAATGGATGGTGTTTGAGCCTAACTGGGTGTAGGAGTGAGACTCGGAAAGATGGGTCAAGGAGAGCGAGCAAAGGAAGATTAACTGTCTATGGAAGAATTGGAGAGAATATGATTAGAGTCGAGGGAGAAAGTCTTTAGAGAGAGAAGTCGATGATTCTAGAGATAGAGTCTCCAAAATTCGATCCCCTCACCCACCGGAGTAAATGCCATATTTATAGGCTACATGTTGGTGGGTGAATGGTTGGGTTACAAGTGGGTATAATGATGTGACTACTGACATGACTACGGACATGTCAGGGATTTAGGCCATACTTTTAGGACCCTGATGTGACTATTCCTGACATAGGCAGGACTATACCTAGGACTGTGATGGTGACTGCTTGTTGGGTGACGCGGCGCCGCTTCCCCGGCTTCTCGATAAAAGTCCACGCCTGTGTAACACGCCGTCGTTTAGTGTTTACAAGCGCTTGATTCCGGCACGACTCACGCTACTCGCGCGCCTTGCCTTGGCGTGAGTATCCTTGGTGCTTCTTCAGTGGGATGAGATCCGAGTTGCATGCCCAACAATTGCCCCCCATCAGGGGGTATTCCGCGAATGCCCCCTGTTTGATCTTCGTGTGGCTGACTCGGATCTGGGAGATTCCATCATTTTCCGCGCTATTGACTGGGATGGGCGCAATCTGGGTGAGTTGGGGCCTTTCTGGTCCTCGCGTGGCCTTCGTGTCCTCGGTGGCGCGCGCATTCTGTGCATCGCGTTGTCTTTACGGCTGAGGATGGCGCCAGTCGAAGTTGGTGTGTCATGCCCCCCTGTTGTGCGCGTGACTTTAAGATGCGCTCGTAAGTCGCGCTCTCTCGTTGGTGCGCGCTACCTTTGAGTTTGGGGTGGGTTGTTTTTTCTTCCTCGTGCCCCCCTGTTGTGCGCGTGACTTTAAGATGCGCTCGTAAGTCGCGCTCTTCTCGTTGGTGCGCGCTACCTTTGAGTTTGGGGTGGGTTGTTTTTTCTTCCTCGCGGGTGTGTCATGCCCCCCAGGCGGTGCGCGGCACTCGTGGCGTCGCCGACTATTGTCTTTTGTGGTAGGTGTCCACGTGTCTCTGCTTGATTGGGCCATTTGGGCGGGGATTTCTTGAAATTCGAAAGAATTCGAAAAGATTTTGTAGGATCTGACGGTTACGAATCCCTATGTAGCTTTAACCCTTCCTTTTCCCTTGGCTGACTATAAATATGGGTTTGCCATAGGAGGGTGGGACTAATCTGTTTCTACGACTCTGCTTCTTGCTTCTTTGTTCTTCCTTTCTCTGAGATTCTTCTCCTTCTTCTACAACCTCGATTCTCCTTTCGCTGTTGCTGGATTCAAGCTATTATCATGTCTAACATCAACATCAACGAGGCCGGGGTCGTACAAGACGAAGAAGGTAATCTCTCCCCTCTTTCACACACTTCTACTGATCGTTCACTGGAGTTAGACGACGGCTCCGGTGGCGGGGACGGCGGGGGCGAAGGGGTTCCGGCGACGACGTCGTTCGACATCGAGTCGGGGGATGATCTCGGCGGTTCCCCCGACGTGGGTATGGGTGCTTCCGGGAGCGGACGAGCGGGACAAGAAGCTCGTGGTGTGCTGATCATCCGTCGTGGTCGCGATGAGAGGCCAGTAGTTGCAGAAGATGACGTTGGGGTGCGTGAAGATTCTAATGCGCAGTCAGAGCCGCACTATGTTGTGCGTGTATCGGAGGCTATGGCGCGACTTGGGTTGCGCGGTGTTGGCACCGCGTATACCGTTATAGAGTGGGCTGAGATGTGGGGAGATCAGCCGGAGCCGCATGACAACCTCAAGCGCGGGCCCGAGCACGCTTCGATATATGATGTTGGTGATGTGGAGGAGATAGTGCGCGGGCTGGGTTTGCCCCCCCATTGGCAGTACGCCGCTCCTTCCACGCGCAACATGGTGGGTAACTGTCCCGAGGGGTGGTTCGTCGTTTACACGGAGTATTGGGTGATGGGGTTTAAGTTCCCCATTGACCCGCTCCTGTGAGCCTTGTATCGGCGCCTCAACTGCTCCGTTGGACGGCTCTCCCCCTCGGTCATCATGCACGCGAGTTGTCTCCGTCTCGCCTGCAAAAGGCTTAACATCGAGCCAACCTACGGCCTTTTCCGCAAGATCTACAAAATTAAGGAGCCTACGAGGAGAAGCGACTGTCTTTCCATAAAGCGTCGCGACAAGAGGCCCGAATGCTTCGTGTATGTATCACCCAAGTTAAAGAAAACTTGGTTCGAGCGCTTCTTCTACGTCAAGCCCGTTCCCGGAGAGTGGGCGAGTGAGTTTGTAGAGGAGCCTACTGTCTGGAAGAAAGGAAGTACGCAAGGATATGAGTCTGACGCCGGCACCTATGACGGTCTGGACGATGAGTATGAGGCGTGCATGCCTCATAGGATCAATCTGTACGATGGGGGCGTGCGCGAGGCGTGTTTGCAGGAGCTATTCGCCGATGGTTAGTTATATTTCTTTTCTTTTGCATTCTTGTCATATTAACCGCTTTCTTACGACCTATTGGCGCAGGTGTTGACTTCTCCAATCTGGTCAGCATGATGTCGGTCGACGACGTCGCGCCGCGCGCCGACAAGAAGAAAAAGAAGAAGAAGGAGAAGGAGGGTGCGGTGCCGCGAGGCACAAAGCGGAAGGAGATTGAGCAGCCCCGAGTGGCGGTTGAACAGCCCCGTAAGGCGGCTCGCGTTGCGGAGCCGAGCGCGCGGGTGACGCAGGCTGCGCAGGCTTCACAAGGGGAGGCGCCACTATCCGTCGCGCGGCAGTTGGCTCTGGCACTTTCAGAGCCGGAGGAGGCGGTGAGCAGGCCTTCTCGGTCTGAGAGGGAGAGGGGAGACAAGGCTGGGAGCTCCTCGGGTGCCACCATCCAGCAGAAGCTGCCTGGGATGGCGGGTTTCGGAGGGACTTCCGCGACACCCACTGCCGGCGCTGCGGCAGTCAACTACTTCCGCGACGTGCGGATCCATACATCGGCGGCGTGCAATCTTGTGGCTGCGAATACCGCGCTTCGGGCGCTTGGGCCCGTGCTAAGTGTTCCTCCACGGGTGGAGAAGTCTGACCCATTGCATGAGTTGGCTCAGATTCACTTCGCGGTAAGACCGGGCTTGAGTTTTATCGCGTCTAATATTCCCTTCTCTTCTTCTCTTTTTTTTTTATTCATCTGTTTTGCTAAGTCTGTGAGCGTTGTAGGGTTTATCGGCCACTTTTCGGGCTCAGAAGGAGAGCGCGCTGCAGCGCGCCAGGATAAAAGACGACGAAGCCAAGATTGTCCAGCTGGAGGGCAAGGTCGTCGGGGCGAACAACCGGGCCGACGTGGCCACCAACAAAGCCAACGAGGCGATGGAGGAACTTGGCCTCCTACAGAGTAAGCTGGCCGCCGATGTGGAGGCGGCGAGAGAGCAGGTGCGAGCTGAAGAGCGCTCGACCATCCGCAGTCAGCTGGAGGCCTCCTATGATGAGAAGCTGAAGCAAGCTCGCGAAGAGCTTCGAAAAGAGAAGGATGACTTGGTCCGCCTTCATAACATCGGGAAGGCGGAAGCTGTCCGCGAGGCCGAGGTCGCGGCCGTTCGCCAGTTCAAGTCTTCCCCCTCTTTCGGGAAGATTTTGGCTGACGCTATGACCAAGGCCGTGATCGCGGTCGGGAAGAAGGTTCGGCCGGAGAACCCGGAACTCCGCTGGGACACGCGCGAGATGGTCCGCCACGTGCAGACGTGGATTGGTGAGAAGCGGTCCTTGGAGTCTGACTCCGAGTCGGGGGATGAGGATGATGAAGAAGAAGATGAGGACGAGGACGAGCGCCCGGAAGGGGAAGAGTGCCAAGCTGGGGGAAAGGCTGAAGGCGCAAATAAGGTTGCTGAGGGAGCTGATGATGATGATGAGGAAGATTCTGAGCCCCTGTTGCGTCGCAAGCCGAGTAAAGAGGGCTAGAGCGTTTAAGTGTTTTGTGCTGAAATGTTTCCTTTTTGCATTTGTTGCTTTGTTGTCTTTCTTCTTTCTTTTTATCAAGTGTAGTTGCGATTATTTGTTGCTCCCGCTTAATTGAATCCAAAAAGTTTCGTTGAATCCAAAGAGTGTTTACTCGCGGCGTGTGTTTACTCCTTTGGATCGAGTGAGCGCGAATAGTGCTGGACTATTGCTAATTTATTTTTCTTGCGAACTGGATGGGCGCGAATAGTGCTGGACTATTGCTAATTTGTTGTATGCGCGAATAATGCT